AAACTGGTAGGAGTATTCGAAAGAAAAAATAATCCTACACGATAAACAAAAAAATTTGGTTCCATCAAATTTTTCTTTTAATTTTACTGGTAACTGCACCAAAAGATGAAAAAATTTGATTTTCCAAAACATATGTTGTGTATTTAATGAAAAAGTTTTAGTGACCAATATTATTCCCTTATTTACATTATTATTAAAACTTCATATCAAAGAAAGGCAGGTTTACTCATCAAAATAGAATCTGGTTAAATTTACAAACTAGTAGTAATATTGTTTTGGTCTCTATTATCCATTCTACATCTGCACAAAATTATTAAAACACAATTCTCTGCACAAAACTTTTACTTGGCAAACATAAGTGGCCAAAGTTCTGGTCCAGTCCACGCTTAACTGTTTATACAGGGAAAAAATTATCGCAATCTATAATTAAAAATTTTATCAGTGCGTTATTGAGCACTGGAATATTTAAATCAGCACTTTCAACAAAAAATTCCATACTGGCGCGTATAGCCCATCCACTTTGAACGCATATTATTTATATAAGCCGTTGTTGAACACATGATCGTCGGCTACCGGCGTTACGCCTACGGCCCGTCCAAACTGCTCACCGTGTTACGCCCGACCGAGGTCTGAAACCTTTTTATAGCCATAGTAGTTGTGAGCTTTCATTCGGACACCGAACGGATTTCTCTTTCTTTCAATTCTGCTGTGAGCGTGTGAAGTTTAGCGACTCTTTATTTTGATTTTGCCTTATATATGTCAACGTCCTGCTTAATTTATGTTTTGGGCTTTTAGCGTGATGACAATATTTAGATTTAATAAAATAAAATGTTTTTTTATAGTTTTTGATATGTCTATTAAATTTAATAAATCTTTGATGTAGGGTTACTGTTCTACGTGACTATAGCTATCTCTTAAAGAGTATTTGATAAATTATTCAAGAATTTGGTAACGTTTATTAATTTCTGCAGTTTTTTTGGTTTTATTCTGTAATAAAACTATTGATGTGTCTATTTTTTCATTTAATTTAATTATTTAAAATTAATTCAGATGTCTTGGTAGGATTCCCCACTCGACCATTCACTGTTGGGTACTGATTAACAGTGCTGTTCCTAAAGTGGCGCTCGGAAACAGTAACAAAACCTACACAGAACACGATGCTAATAACCGTAGCAGTTGATGCCGATGATAAAAAAAGTTACTGTTCTAACTGACTTATCCTAAGGATTATGGTTTAACGTCATCAAAAATACATAATTTAAAATTAACTATTTGAGGCAATACTCTCCACATCTCAGCAAATGTGCTTGTATAGTAATTTACAGTACTTTTGACACCTCCCCTAGGTGGGTGTCTCATTTGTTTTTATTTATTGCCCACTTGACCATTCACTGTTGGGTTCTACCTTACAGTGCCATTTTTAAAGTGGCGCTGGGAAACAGTGACAAAGCGTACATAGAACACAAGGCTAATAACCATGGCAGTTGATGCCGGTGGCACAGACATATTTTTGTACCCCATTTAAATTATTGTGCGACTAGATCGTATGTATTTGCAGAATGAGTTGTAGCGATTGAAAAAGTTTCAAAATAAAGGCATTAAGATGATACTAAGCTGTTCGCGAATGGAACTAATCAATTTAATATTAAATGTGCTTCAGATGTTGCCTGTAGGAACATGTGTACTATTTTAATTCCTACTTTTAATGTTTAAGATTAAATCAGGTATCTCCCCAGTATATTTAATAAATATTTTAGGTTATTATCACGATGTTTATGAAAGTGATACAAAAAATATGGAAAATAAACACAAAATTCAATTTTGAAGCTTTTAATAAATAGCCTAAATATATCAAATGCTCTTCTGCTTTACTTCTGAATATGTTTTGTAAAATTTTATGTTATTTAAAATTAATGGAGGAGACATGTAACAAACAAATCCTTTAAATGTATCAAATAAATAATAAATTGAATCTTAGGAAAAAAATATTTATTTGAGTTAAAAGAATAATTATTGTATGTGATTTTAAAACTAGAATTATACTCCGCAGTTTAATAAATCCCTCCTTTTAATCCTATTTTAAATAAGATTTTTTTCAGAATCAATAAGCATTATCATCTTATAAAATTTGATTTTCAATTTGTTATCGTTTTTGTTTATTAGTTCAATATTTTAACCCCCTTTATCCACCCATTTCTATTCAGAATTAATAGGCTTCGTTCTCTTATACTACTTACTCTTCACAGACTACTGTGTGAAGAGTATAATAATTATAATAATAATCATTAACGTGTGGGTTACTGTTCTACGTGACTATAGCTATCTCTTGGATAATATTTATTATATTCAAGAATTTGGTAACTTTTTCTTTTTTACGGCTTTATTCGTTTGATAATATGATTGATAAAACTATTGATGCGTCTACTAAATTTTAAAATAATAGACAATAATGTGTGGGTTACTGTTCTACGTGACTATAGCTATCTCTTAAAGAAAATGTTACTGTTTTATAGCTATATCTCTTGGAGAATATTTAGTATTTGGATTTTGTTTTATTCTATTCTACGGACTTTGTTTGATAATGTGATAAAACTATTAAAGCGTTTATTAAATTTTAAAATAGTAGTACTTAATGTGTGGGTTACTGTTCTACGTGACTATAGCTATCTCTAAAAGAATATTTGTTAGAATTTGGTAATATGGGTGATAAAAATGTGTAATGTTAAATTACATCAAATTATAGTTAACAAATAGATGTGGTCATAAAAAGAGAAAAAAATTATACGAAGTATTAGTTAAATTTGGGCCATATGAAGATTAGAATGGCTTTATAATTTTTTTTCAAATTAATATGTTTTATTTCTAGTTATATAATTTAATAAACACATATTTATTTTTCAATTTTAATGTATTTAAATTGATTAATCAACATGAATTTGTTGCCAATGTCATAAATTAGTAGGTACTGTATTCAAAAATGTAAATAATAGAATTGTTATTGTAAGTCCTGAATTAGATATACAATAATTCAAAAATGTATAGGCTTTGATGCCAGGATTATTATGAACAAAAGAGCAATATTCAATATTGCTAATTAGCAGTGTCAAAGTAAAATTTAAAAGTACAAAATTGACAGTTCAAATAAACTTTTACAGTTTTTGAACATTTAGATTATCGTTTAATGGAATATAATAGAAAAAATCATTGTAAGATTGTCATATTCCAAAGCAAAAATTGTTTTATAGCAAAATTGTTGTAGTGCATTAAACGTGTGTTGAAGTAGTACAGAATCGGAGTCAGGACAACAGAACACCATTTTGAAAATTTTGATAATCAAGTGATACAAATTTTAAGAGGGAGGTATCCGCAGATCTGAGTCTTTAGTGGTTTTCCGAAAGGAATATTAAAGAGTTTTTTAAAAATTTAGCAGAAATATACAAGAAAACTTTCAGAAAGTTAATTCATAGGGCTTAAACAGTATTCTAAATTTTATTTAGGACAGAACTTGACATACAATGTAAAGATTTATATTAGCGTTTAATGAATTATAGGCATAGTTTTAAATTTTAATAATTGATTTAATTTCATAAAGGTTCAGACGCAGTAAGTCACTCTCATTATTAGCAGTTGTAAATGCTATTAAAATATTTGTAGACCATTTGTAAAGAGTTTCAGATTCTACTACTACTTCTACTAAGATACAATAATATATAAATTTATAAATACAATATAATGTGTAAATAAACATTTAATTTGTCAGTTTAAAGTTTCTGTTTCAACTGACTATTGACAAGTCATAACATTTATAAACCTAATCAAGACAAATACCAGAAGTACTTCATATAAAATGGAGCAGCAGGTCGACAGTTTAACAATTGAATTGCTAACATATGGACGGAAATAGATTTACCGGACTATTTTAAATGACATTGTAAATATTCCTATAGCTAGGAGCTATTTGTTTATTTATTTATTTGTTAATGTATAATGAAACCATTGATGTGTCAATTAGTTTTAGAATAATTGTTATTGTTGCAATCTTTATTATGTTTATAGCAGGAAGTTTTTTTTTTCACGGATTTTAGACAATAGGTATTTAAGTTAATATTATAATTGTCTGTTTTATATTGTGTCGATTAGATCACTGTACTATTTTCGCTGTAGAAAAATATATAATAGGTTTTTTATTTAATAGGATTGACGGAGTAGTTCTAGTAGTTTGTTAGAAATGAAGATAACAAAACAAGGCTTATATTTAAATCCAGTTAAAATACATCCATTCATTTTCTTATACATATCGTTACACAAGAAAAATTATTATTAAATATTAATTAGAATTATTAACAGAAGCATACATTTTTTATCCATACCTATTGAATTTTTAAATATATTTAAATTTTACACATGTAGGTACAATGAAAATATTTGTAAACATCTCTTATAATTAAGATTATTTTTTTTATTTTAAATGTATTTGTCGAATTTGTAGAAAAAAAAAACAAAATTATCTTAATTTGAACAATTAATTTAACAATAATTATTTCAATTTAAACGTTTTATATATTTTGATTCTGTAAATGTTGCTATCTCTAGAGTATTCTATTAAATCGGTAAAATATTGAAATTATAAACAAATTATAAATATAAATTTGAAAATATTGACAACTATTACTTTAAAATTGTCAATAAAACGTTGAGTATCAAATATTTATAAACAAATTGCATATTCAAACAAGACTGGGTTTGTGTTCTGTGTGACTATTGAAATCTTTTCAGTTTGTTACCCAAACAAAAGCTGTTGACATAATTGAATTACAAAAAAAATTCATTGAAACGTTAAATTATCACTTATTAAAAACTATTAACCACTTCAAAAACTGATTAAATAAATTATAAACGCAGTTTCAAAGGAATTAAACTGAAAAATTACCATTTTTTAAGGTTATAATACTGAAAAGACACGCTCACACAAACACAAAAAATATAACAAATGCACTAACCTGTATATTTGCAGCGCCGATTCTTGTAAAAACTATCTAATTAACCGTCAAGTTGTCTATAACAAAGTGGCTGTGATAGTTGACTTTTGCTTCTGTACCAAACTATGGCTGGTAGCTCAATGATTCTAACAAGTAGTGAGTAGAATGGGAAACCATGGTACCCCTCCCGCGACACCACTAGCACAGCCTACCGAGATGTGCACCTTACGAACTTATGACATTAAGGTGAAGTTGCCAGGTAGGAGAGAACCAGAAGTCACCCGACTGGTAAGGGATTATGGGTCTTATAAAGACTTGGTTTAAGAGGATGACATTGTTGGCTTTTGATTGAGTTTTTAAAATAATTCAGAATAATTATGGTAGGTAGGCACTTTATTTTGCGCCTTATGGATTTGTATTCTGATGCATGTGGGACGGACGCTTTTGGTGGGACCTTCTTCGGTGAAAATGGACTTAATTATGCAGTGTAGAAAGGGTTACCACTACCGAAAAAATATTTTTCATATACCACTAAATAAATCACTATGTTTAGGGCTATTATTATAGTTAAAAACTATAGGATTTAAAAAATGTAAAATACAATAATGAACAGGTTCAGACAGGTTCTAAAATAATTTTGTGGAATAGAATAGAATACTTTATTTAATAATGTTGTTTATAATTATGCAAACGAAAGCATTTTGTTTTAAATTATAAAAAAATTATAGTCTAGATATAAGTTCAAAAATAAGATTAAAACTTTTGTAAATCTCTTGTAAATATCTTGCAATTCTCTTGTAAATTTCTTATAAATCTCTTGTAAATTTCTTGTAAATCTCTTGTAAATCTCTTGTAAATCTCTTGTAAATCTCTTGTAAATCTCTTGTAAATCTCTTGTAAATCTCTTGTAAATCTCTTGTAAATCTCTTGTAAATCTCTTGTAAATCTCTAGAGTAAATTATAAAACGTGTAAAATATTAACTCTTTAATTCTTAAAACAATAATTTCATCTTATATACAATGTGTTCCATAAAGACCTGACTATCTCTCTTATCTAATAAACATATATATCCGAAAACGCCTTCGAAGAGGGTTGAAATTTACCACTTTTTTAACTATATTTCAAAAACTTACTAAGAGATTTAAATAAAATTTTAAGAGAATATTAAGAGTATTAAATTACATAATTTAAGTCTACTTTCCAAAATTTTACATATGTGTAAAGGGGTAAATAAGGGTAGAGGGGGTTAATCATTTTTCCTCATCTTTTAATTTGTTAATTTTTTGAAAAATAAAATTGAAATTATTATTTTTTAGTTAATTTTACATTAAAAAGGTTCTTTTAGCAATTGTCCAAAAAATCAAACTGTTTATTATAGTCAGACTTTCATAATCATTTCAAATTGCTTACCTTTTTAAAGTGAGTCAAATTGAAGAAACTATAATTATTATTCTTTAACTGAAAACATTTAGTGAAAGAAAAATTAAAATAACGGCAATATTTTAGAACAATAAATAAATCTACAGAGAGAAATATTCAATATGTTCCCCATTTTGATGAATACACAAATTTATTCTTTTTTCTTTGAAGTGATTCCTGGGTATTTTTTTAGTTTATTAAAAGTATTTATTATTTTTTCCCTTAATAATTCTAATGTATGCAGTTTTGTAGAATAAAGTTTTGTTTAACATAATTTCATAGCATGAAATCTAAAGGTGTCCGGTAGGGTGACCTAGGGGGACAATTCAACCTCGTGGAAAATGTTCACTCAACTAAAACATTAAAATAGTATATAGTAAACGACTAAAGTTGCACTTTTTATTCCGAGGCCCAAAGTGGCTTTTTTGACTTACTATTAGCCCTAGAAAGTCTTTATGAAACATCCTGTGTAAGTAAAGATAGTAAGGATATACTAGATCTTTAGATAATCTGCTAGAAGAAAAATAAAAGGTCATCAAGGGAGTGATGAAGAAAATTGGAAGTATTAACAAGAGATCTAGCAGAACTGGAAGAAATAATAACATATAAACTGCGAAATTGTTAGGGATATAAGGTAGATAGAAAAAAACACATCGCTAAAGCAACTGAAGGAAGCAGTTGGTAAGAAAAGAAGAAAATGCAAGGCAGCCAGGAATACATTCAGATAGAAATACATTCAGAATACGATGAGAATTTTATGGAAAAATAGTTGCGGAAGAGAAACCTTTAAACTCGAGAAAAGTTGTGAAAAGCAAAGACTATTGTAGTGTATATACCATTGAAACAGATTACTATTATTAGACAATATTTTCTGAGTCATCTACCACTTAATTTTGAAAATGATTTACTTAAATTAAGTGTTAAATTAAAACATATTTTCCTTAACTTTCAAAATAAGAAATCTACCCTAATCAAAATATATGCGCTAATGTTTTATGTAAATGATATATGATATATTTTCTAGTATTCTTTTTAAATCATTTATTACTTGGTCCACAAATCATTTTTTATCCTTTTTGATCCTTATCCTACCTTATTTTCTTCATTCATTTTATTTTTAATTTTTTGATTTCTCATTCAAAGATTGGTAATTTGATTATCCTTTCAATAATTTTATATTCTCTTTTTATTTTAATCTTAGCTTTACTATAGAAACTTGCAATTTTTTTTAATTATTTAATTATGGTATCTGTTTTGAAGGATCAAAAATTAAAAACATCTGTTGAACTAGTATCAGGCAATGTAAAAACAAATGGAAATAAGTTTTCTCAAATGCTAAAAAATAATTTGCATCTGACTCTCGAACAAAGTAGTAAAATTTACATACAAATGCAGCATAAAACTTTGAGAAAACATTTACACAGTAGCGTCTTTGAATGTCATTTACATGGCCCATACATAAACAGTTATTAATATTTATGAAATAACGTCATTTATTTTTTAATTTGCATATCTACCTAGGAAAAAACGAGTGTTAATTTAAAAATTTATTTTAATGATCGACTATTATTTATTAACCAATTAATTTAGCTTCCGTTAATGGTTTATTCAAGTTTGAAGTATTTATATGATAAATGTTTCTTAAAATGTTACTCTATGAGTAATCAAAAAAGTAATGTTTACTAGCATCTACTTTTCGATCCAGTTATAATATTTTAAATACAAAAAATCATCAGGCTCATCAGGTAATTTGAGCATTCGAACCATATACATGAAAGTATTTTACCACCCACATAATTTTTTCAAATTATTTTCCATGTTTTAAAAAAAAATAAAAATAAAGAAAATAATAAAGATTTGTGAAGAATAGTGAAGGATATTGACGTATTAGTACAAAAAACATACTTACTGAAAGTATTGAAATTCTAACGCGTAAAAAAGAATTGATTGAAGCCTTTAATACATATGAATTTCTCCAGAGTAGGAGAGAAATTGGCTTCAAAAATAGTTCTTGTAGTATCGCCCAAACCTAAAAAAAGCTACACAATACAATCATTCTTTTAAGAACATGTATATACTCGTATAATTGAAGTAAAAAAAATTAAAATAAATATTAAGTTAAGTTAGTTAAGAAAATAGTAAGAGATTTCAATTTCCTTTAGTCATTTAGATATTTAATTAAATATTTGAAACAAACACTTTTCCCACTGACTTATAGAATCATTGGTTATTTCAAGTTCATAAAAAAGGACCCAAAAATAAAATGAGTAACTACAGACTTTCTCAAAAATTGTGGAAGAAGTTTTAAAAAATAGACTAGCTAAATACATAGATAAATAAAATATTATAAGTTCAAAGCAATATTAATTTCAAACAGGCTTATCTACGATTGTGCTGACATCTTACAAATATGATATGAAGTAATATAGATAACAGCGTTTCAAAGATCGGTATTTTTCTTGACCTGGCTAAGATCTTCGACACTGTGTCAGAGGTAAATCTTTAATCCTTTTTTGTAGTAATATAAGTAAAAGGGTTTAGGCAGTAAAAATAATAACTATAAAATATGGTGTCCCTCGAGGAACTGAACCTATTTTTTGTCATATATTTTTTGCATGATATATGCCCTCTATGACTGGACTAAAATTATTTTATTAAAGGAAAACTGTACAATGGAATAATAATAACAAAATAAACGTGATTTTTATGTGGCGCTGCAAATCAATGAAATCAAAAGTAATGGTACTAATGTTTTTAGTACCATATTACTGTTATTTAATTACCTAAATGAAATGTTAATATAAGTATTTAAAATTTTAAATTGAAGCCATACAAAATTTTAATAATATAATGAAAATCTTTTTTTAATGACTTTTGAGTAAACATAAACTGCTAAATGGAATACACAGATTTATGAGCAAATTTTAAATTAAGTAAGTAGTAAACATAAAAGATAAATGATAATTTAAAGTTATGTGAACAGGACTCAAAAATGTATATCCGTTTTAAAAAGCAAATGTATTTGGCAGCAAGAAAAATAACTATACTTCCCTTATTCGAAAGACGATTCAAAATATGCTGAAGGTGACACCGATATAGGAATTTGAAATGTTATTCACCAAGACCACAATTCCTGTTGGTGAGATCTACAGAAAAGTTTAGACTAATCAAAAATGTACATTTAGAGTAGATACAATAATTACCATAACAATAATTCCTGTTGGATTTTTTAATACACACATGTAGGCGTAGGGTAGGCTTTTTTTAGTTTTGATGGAGGTACCTTGCCAAATTTTTGTTACTTTATAAAGTTGTTACATAAACATTTATACAACTATTCTATGCAATATTTCAGCTAATAAAATTGAATTGCTTTATAGTGATTCTATTTTGTTGCTTTGGATCACCTTTACAACTTTTTGGTTATACAAATACAACTGTATCTTAAGCTCATAATAACGCTTTAAAAAATAGTTATATAAATATTCGTGTGAGATAATTCCTCTTCTAATGAAAACTCTAAAATAATTGTAATATGTAGTGTCGAAATACACTTCTGCAAATCAGAAAACTATATAATACTATTATAAATCAATAATTTTATTTAAGAATAGTATTATCTCTTTAAAAATATTTATAAAAAAATTTGGTTACTACCTACACCATATTATTTTGTATTTTATGTTTGTTCAACTACTTCCCATACCATTTGTATG